CGCTCTGCTTTATCTATACCCACGCCCTCCGAAAATTACCGACACTCTTGCCCTCGCGACCTGTTTGATTCACAGGTACACCCGCAAAATTAGTTCCGCCAGTTCCGCTAGGAAATTTCGCGGTTGAAGCTTCGCCATTGGCGTTAGCAATCTCCCCTATAATCTCTGCTCTCATGATCGCTGGTCTTTCCGAATTATCGGCCTCCGAAAATTACCGACACTCTTGACCTCGCGATCTGTTTGACTTACTAGTACACCCGCAAAATTAGTTCCGCCAGTACCGCTAAGAAATGTCGCGGTTGAAGTTTAAGCCTCGCCATTGGCGCTAGTAATCTCCCCTATAATCTCTGGTATAACGGTCGTAAGACTGTCAGTGTTATAACCAATAAACGAAAAAAAGATGATTTTTTTCCGATAATTCGGATGACTAAATAAACCATTACGAGAAGTGAATTTGTCAAACGCTCCAGATTGGTGCGTTTCACATTCCTGAGTCACGTGCCCTCAATTCTCCCTCGTAGCGGTACAATTATTCGTTCACGAATTTATTAAGTTTCCGATCGTCTATTAACGAAATTATCTATTAATTGTGGCCATAATAGGAACGTTATGGCAGGATTTACGGAGAACGCTCTCGTGAAGAAACTTCTAGATCTTAACCCATCCCAGCAAAGTATTCAAACATTGTCACTTTGGCTAATCCACCACAGAAAACATCACGGTACTATTGTGAAAGTCTGGTTCAGGGAGATGTGCAAAGGTATTTTTTCAAACTATTTTTATTTATTTCTGAAGTTATCAAATTCTTTCAACATTAACTTCAAAAAAGAAATCAGTTTTACCACTCAGCTTTTTCATTTTTTGGGGTGAAATTAGAGTTCTTGTTGTGCTGTATTTCATGTTTCATAGGTTAGCAAATATGTTTGGACAACTTTCTAATTTTTTTTAGCTACTTTTAGTTACGAAAGAATCCCGCTCTTTCAATTAAAAATTAAGTCTCACCATTCGGAAATTGTAAAGACAATGAACATAACAGAAAAGTTGCATTGTGTCTACCTGTTGTATATTGCATTAAAAACTCATAAAGCAGTGACCTGACTATGAGTACAGATGGTACAATTTGTACTAATTGAGCTCCATTCCTTTAAACCGGAAAAAAATTCAATATGTAGAGCTGATCGTTGGAGAGCTCCCCACGTTATGGGATATTTTTTAAGGCACATTTTGACTTCACCTATTCGTTTATCGCCTGGTTCAAGAAGATTGCTAAGCCCAGAATGGATAATTCTTTTCAGCTAAGGACACTCGCAAATTGATGTTTATGTACTTGGCTAACGATGTAATACAGAATAGCAAGAAGAAAGGACCGGAATTTGGCAGAGAATTTGGTCATGTTCTTCCGAGAGCGTTCGAACACATGAAAACATTCGATGAGAAAACTAGGGAAAGGCTGAATAGACTGCTTGTTATTTGGGAAGAAAGAGGGGTTTACGACAAAACACAGATTACTGATTTTAAAGGAGCCCTCAATATAGTTACAGAATCGATTAAAGAGCCAGGGACACCGCCACGAAAAAAATCACGAAATGAAATTGAGAAGGTGAGGTTTCAATGGAATACTTGTGGATTTGCGGGTACACGCGTTTTTTACGAATATATTATAAATATTTCAAAACTGCCATCATGTATTTATATTTAAATGTAATAATATTTTCAATTATATGTGTAGTATTAATTATTTTTTGCTTAGTTTAATGACATGATGGGATGACTGGCTGTTAAAAGTTAGATATTTATAGATTAAATGATTAAGTTCTCTCCCAATAAGGCACGCACGCGTATTTAAATTATAATCATTGAACTTAGTTTTTATTGGAAAATTATGCTTGAAAATATTCAATAGGATAGATGTAGATTATTGGATTGGAAAAATGTATCAAATAGTAATTGATTTTAAGCAAGTTTTCTATCTTCAGGAAACCTTCAAGAAATCTGACAAGAAATCAGACAAACGATCAGATAAAAAATCTAACAAGAAAGAGAGAAAAAAATCGGAAACTGAAATTGAAGTGGATGGTACCAAAGAACTACACGTTACATTGAGTCCAAGAACACCAGCTGGCGATCCCCCGGAGACTGAGGAACTTATTAAGGCCCTAATGGTTATTACCGTTTGTAGCGACACGTATAGTTCCGATTGTGTATCAACTGCAATAAAATATCTCGAATTCATGATGAATAGTAATTTTCAATCCAAGAAATGCAATAATAAGATGATATTAACAACACCATTTGCAATTGTTTCATTAGCACTATGCGATAGTCGTTGACATGACTTGAACTGTCACTATCTGGATATCTCATTATTTCCAGATATAGACCGTCAATTTGGATTCTTTACCTTATTGGGAAATTAGTCAATAAAACTTTGACTGATGATTTCAGGACTTGGAAAATACAGCATCGTCTGACGCAGCTGTGAGAGAACGAATTGCTTCACTACCTCCAGAGGTATCAGAGGTCTCGTTGTTGGCTAATTTGGCTGATCGTGCTGCTGCTGATGAGTTGAGTATAGCTGTCAATGAAGCTGCAGCGTTGCTTGCGGATTACAATGGAAGGTTGCAGGCAGAGATGGAGGACAGGCGCCGTTTATTAACAATGCTTAGGGACTACACATTGGCACAGAAGCAATTGTTACAACAGGCACAATCGACTCTAGAGGTAAATATTCTATTCGACTATTTTCAACAATATCCTAGTACTCTGGTGTTTTCCGTTACAATTCCGGTATCTACTTGCCGTTGAGCATTGGCGCATCTATTATGTTTTGCTTCTTATGTTTTTTCATATTTAGAAGTAATATTTTTGACATTTGGAACGTTTGAAAAAGCCCTGTAAGGATATTCAAGTTCTATAGAAATTATTTCTTTTCGGAAAAATCGGTTATGTCCAAACGTTTATTTTCAGCGCGATTTCAACCCAAGTTTCTGAACATTTGATTTCGAAAAATAAACTATAATTTGCGATTTCTCTGACTATCGCTCTCGCTTTTCAATCTTAAATCTCATTTTTGGTAGTGCTAAAGCGTTTGTTCATATTTTAAACCGTAGACAAGTGTATTCGTTTCAAATATTTTTCTAAATATTGAAAAATATAAGTTTCCGAAGAAAAAAGTGAAAGAAATTAAATTTAAAACTCCCCAATTTTCCCGATGGATATATGGAAGGCTTTGAATCCGAGGGCTCCACTGACCCGGCAACAGGCCATACACGCGCACTATGTAAACGGTAATTCAAATATAAACCCAAATTTGTTGGGTGAAATGTTTCCAATATTTAACTCAACAATTGATTTATGACCAACGAGAGTTTTAGAAATTAAAACATTCTTGAGTAAAAATAAAGAATTTTACATTATCCAGATTGTGAAAATTAATTAATTATGTAATCGATCGGTGAGGTTAGGTGTTGTGAGAATCGAGGAAATCGTCAATAATCAATTTTCAGTGCTTGATTAATGTGGGTGGGGCTGATACGAGGGTTGATCTGGAAAAGAAAATTTTATGTGCAAATTTTCGTGAAATTCTCTTTTTTGAATCGAAATATTAATACGCAGCGTTCTCGCATATTCATCACATGATACAACGGCGAGAGTTAAGGTAGTACTTCTGGTACACCATGGGTCAAGCTAGAGTCTTGATGACTTTGATTAGCTCTGTAGTTTGTCTTGACAACATTCCTCGGCGTGAAATCTAGGGGTTTGTTCGAACGTAATTACACGTTCATTCCTCAATTTCCCACCCCTGAGACCTAGTTACCGGTCCGGGAAAAATAATTATCTAGTTATTGACCCTAAGATTAGATTTTTTGAGGATCGACAGGGGCTAGCATTTATGTCCCCGTAAAACACGTTTTTTTTGGGGAATTCTCTAGAGACTTGTTGGGTGAAAATCCCTCCACCCGGGCCTTAAGAGTGTGAAATTAAGGCCCGGCCTTCTCGAAATCTAGTGGATTTTTTCCCCCAGAATTCCCTAGATTTTAATGAAATTATTGCGTTTTACGGGTATACTAATTACGAGCGAATAAAGTGATCAAAAATTATAATTTTGGGATGATAAAATAGGTCATGATATGCGATATGTCGGCAATTAGGTCTGAGAGGGGAATAACCGTCGGGGGAGTTCAGTTACGCGAAAATAAAACACCCTTTTTTCCACTGCACATTACAATATATATAGCACATCACGTGCCATGATGGCGGCCAAATTACACTCACGGAATACACACGATTTATAAATTTCAGATACACAACATCCACTCAAGACATAATTGCCGACGTATAAAACACTCTGACCTTTCGTTTGGGTCAAATACCGGAATTTTTAATCACTTTGATCACGCGTAATTAGTATTCCCGTAAATGAGGTGATGACCTGTCAATTTCAGGGAATTCTAACTACCTTGAAATCTGGCAAATGGCGCCACCATCAACTCGCGAACACGCCGGAATGAGCTTCAGAGACGGACGTTGAAAAATGGGACCCCGGATGCTTCCAATGGGGTATTGCGCATGAGTGGGAGTGAGATAGCAATTTCTCTAACTGTCTCACTCCCTCCAGTTTTGAAACGGCCATCTGTGATGTCTAATGTGTGCATTTATTTATGAGTAATTGAACTCCCCCGACAATTGCTACTCTCTGAGACCTAATTGCCGACATGTCGCAGGTTATGACCTTTCTTTCGAGACGAAAAGCATAATTTTTCATACTGCTTTTTGGCCGCAATTCGTAATTCCGTGAAATTCAATTGCTTTATTAAAATCTACGGAATTCTGGGGATTCCGGCCTAAAAAATCGCCATACTTCGTAGATAAGTGGGAGTGAGATATTCATTACCTTAGCTATCTCACTCCCACTTATCTACGTTTCCCGGCCATTTTTTCCCCCACAATCCCCAGAATTTTCTAGATTTTCATAAAATAATTGGGTTTTACGGGAATACTAATTACAGTGAAAATAGTACATAAAAAGGTCCGATTTTGAGATCAAATGAAAGATTATAACTTCTGCCATGTCGTAATTAGGTTTCAGATTGTAATAAAAGTGCGGCAGGGTAAAATAGGGGGTTGATGGTGCAGTGAGTGGAAGGAAAAAAAATGAAGGGTTGAAGCTGAGATGAGTGTGGCAGGGTAAAATAAGGGGTTGATGGTGGAGTGAGTGCCTGTGAGAAAATGAAGGGTTCCGGCTGGGATGAGTGCGGCAGGGTAAAATAGGGGGTTGGTGGTAGAATGAGTGCAAGAAAAAAAATGAAGGGTTGAGGCTGGGATGAGTGCGGCAGGGTAAAATAGAAGATTGAGGGTGGAATGTGGGCAAGTGAAAAAATGAAGGGTTGCGGATGGGATGAGTGCGGCAGGGTAAAATAGAAGATTGAGGGTGGAATGTGGGCAAGGGAAAAAATTAAGGGTTGAGGGCGGGGTGAGTGCGGCAGAGTACAATAGGGGGTTGATGGTGGTGTGAGTGGACGGAAAAAAATAAAGGGTTGAAGCTGGGATGAGTGCGGCAGGGTAAAATAGGGGGTTGGTGATGGAATGAGTGCAAGGGAAAAAATGAAGGGTTGCGGCCGGGATGAGTGCGGCAGGGTAAAATAGAAGATTGAGGGTGGAATGTGGGCAAGGGAAAAAATGAAGTGTTGAGGCTGGGGTGAGTACGGCAGGGTAAAATAGGGGGTTGATGATGGAATGAGTGCAAGGGAAAAAATGAAGGGTTGCGGCTGGGATGAGTGCGGCAGGGTAAAAAAAGAAGATTGAAGGTGGAATGTGGGCAAGGGAAAAAATGAAGGGTCCCATCCCAGCTTCAACCCTTCATTTTTTTCCCTTCCGCTTACCCCACCATCAACCCCCTATTTTACCCTGCCAGACTCATCCCAGCTTCAACCCTTCATTTTGTTCCTTGTACTCATTTAACCATCAACCCTCTATTTTACCCTGCCAGACTCATCCCAGCCTCAACCCTTCATTTTTTTCCTTCCACTCACTCCACCATCAACCCCCTATTTTACCCTGCCACACTCATCCCAGCTTCAACCCTTTATTTTTTTCCTTGCACTCATTTAATCATCAACCCGCTGTTTTACCCTGCCAGACTCATCCCAGCTTCAACCCTTCATTTTTTTCCTTCCGCTCACTCCACCATCAACCCCCTATTTTACTCTGCCAGACTCATCCCAGCCTCAACCCTTCATTTTCTCACCTGCACTCACTCCACCATCAACCTCTATTTTACCCTGCTACAATCATCCCAGCTTCAACCCTTCATTTTTTTCATTCCGCTCACTCCACCATCAACCCCCTATTTTACCCTGCCAGACTCATCCCAGCCTCAACCCTTCATTTTCACACATGCACTCACTGCACCATCAACCCCTTATTTTACCCTGCCACAGTCATCCCATCCTCAACCCTTCATTTTCACACATGCACTCACTGCACCATCAACCCC